CTATTGAAGTAGCCACAGAACTGGAAACCTGCTCCTGATCATGCCTAAGAGAGCAGACCTGTCCTGAGATGCTAACAGTGAAAGAGGAAAATTGATTAGACACATCAAGATAGAGCAGACACACTGAGATAGACAGTAAAGGATGAAGGTAAGTGGAAATACTGCAGTTAAGATTCTCCACTGCTGAAATACCTTCCTCCTTTAACAACAACAACAAAAAAATCTAACCAAAACATACAGCTATTGATTAGCTATATGTTAATTTGCATTAATACTACTGCATTAATACCACTTCTGAGTCAACATGAGAACTCTTTACACGTGGGATCTTACAATAGGTTACTACTGCTCAATAAACCCAGTGATTGATTGGGTTTCTTTAAAAAAAAAATTTCCTCTACAAAATTTCCAGCAAGAGGTTCAACTCATGTTTCAGCAATTTCAGAAGTGCAAGAGGCTTCTGCCCAGAAAAGGAACACTCCATGGTCTGGAAGTGGAGGGCAGCATGCAGCAGGACCATTTTCTAGTACTTGTTGTTGAACCCAAGTTACTGAAATTTAATACTGTCAGCCAGGGTAAAACTAAGTATCAGAAAGAAGTAACCAGCAGGGATATTTTAAATAAGTTGAAGAATTCTCACAAATTGGTTACTGATACATTAAAAAAATGCATCTTAAGACTAACTGACAAAATACAAGTTGTCATTGTTTATATCTCTAATGTGTTGTTAAGTGATATATGTAGTTATTGTGCCAAACATTAACTGTAAGTTCAGCTATGGAATTATTCCACTGTCATATTTATGTTTTGTGCACAGTTTTGCTGTTGACTTAATTATCAAAACTGTACCATTAAGTACTTTTCTCTTGTGTCAAATGCATTCTACGCATCTAGTTGACAGTTTCTTGACTAAAACTATAGCAGAAGTTTTCACTCAGCAACTCATTTATCTCTGTGTATCACAATTATAAAGGAGGACTGGGAACAGCCATTAAAAAACAGGATGCTTGAAGATTAACACATTCAGATTTCTGGAAGTTGACAAATATAAAAGATAAAGTTATGAACTGCAGAACTGTTACCAAAACCTGCATCCAGCTAGAAAAAAATTTCACAGTTCTTTGGAAAAAATACAGGAATTGCACACAAAGAGAAAAGTTTTAATGCTTTCCACAGTGAAACTGATGCTTACCTAGGAAGTGTTAACTTCAAGAGCTATGATCAACTATCAGAAACCACAAATTAAATGGAGCAAGCTGGTAGTTTAATGTTTTCTCTTACAAATTCTTCTGCCATTTCCTCTGGAATTCCCTCCTCAGTATGAATTTCTATTATATTTCTGACAGTACCAAAATATTAACTTTTTAATTTATTCCCTATACAACAAAATGAAGATTTGTATAATGCAAATGGTCATGCAGGCTGATTGTATTTTAAATTAAACACCTGAATTTAATTCAAAACTTGTAAATAAAAGATATTACTTATTTAAAAGTTACAAAGATACCTTTGCACAAGAGAATGGGAGTGCAGAGATCTTATGCTGTCAGCTATGATGACAGAGGATCTCCTCCTCTGCTCTCAAAGTCTATGTTTTCATTGCTTTTATCAAATACAGTCTCAATTTTTATTATATAATTTCAGAAAACATTAATAGAAATGCACTTTAGCAGCAGCAAACATTCTTACCTAAGAATGATAAAATTCAGTGAGCAAATCTAAAGGTTTGTGAATAACCTGGAAGAAATATGGAAGGGTAAAACAAGGTATGAACAATTGCATTTTGAGATGGAAAAAGATATTATTTTGAAAGGAGGGGTAAGAAAGAGGAAGGAGAGGGCCTAATAGTTCAACTACAGGCAGCCAAAACTTACCTCACTATTAAATCACTAATTAAAAAATCTGAAAGTTAATGATTCAAATCTGGTTCCCAGATAAAAACATTTATAAAGGAAAGTAATTTCTGGACAAAGCAATTAAATCTGTTTATTTAGTCTGTAGTAAGTAAAATACTGGAGAAGAATTTTCTCCTCAGCAGTTTCAAGAGGAACACAATATTCATAAGTAGGACTGGTTAGCATTATTCAGCACAGACACTTCAATTCTTTTTCATTAATCTGTATTTGCCCTCAAGAAGGAAAGCAGGAAGTACTACTGCCCTCCTGCACACTTGCAAAATAGGGAGATATTTTGTTTACAGGCTTCATTTGTCTAAGAGCCTTCTGTTTAAAAAGTTTGTTTCCCTTCCTCTTCCATCTTGCTTGTGCTTGACCTTTCAGGGTGGCAGCTGCAGGGACAGGATAACTCACCTCAGTTACTCTGCTGTCTTTAAAAAATTTGGAAAATGGTACTGACCAGTGACAGCTTCCTGACACGGGGGTGGCTTGGAAGGAAGGTCAGGGACATGGAATAATCAAATGCTATGCAAAATTTAACTCTCCATACAAACCATATTTCTGCCTATCCTTACTTTCTTATGAAGATGAAACTGGCACTGTATCAAACATAAGCGGAAGGAGAAGATAAATGCCTGCCCAATACAAATAAAATTTCCATGGGAAAGTGAAAGGTGGAGTCACTAGGAAGCAACTGAATGAACCTCTCCTTCTCCTGCCCAATGTTCCTGTTTGCTCCACACCTTATGCAGCAAGACAATAGAGCACAAATCAGACACAAATATAAAAACTAGTTTGTAGCTTTACCTAATTGCATCCTCATCTCATGCCATGCTAAACTCACGTACTGCAGAAACTCTCCCATTGCTCAAGAAGAAAATTATTTCTTGCCTGCAGAAGAAACCATCCATTTCAATCAGCTTGCAGGGCTCCTCACTGAATATTTGTTTTGGATCAAATATCTTCTGTGATCTCAAGTAAACAGGGAATCAGCTTCAAAGGGATTACACTAGTTTGACTACCTACACATTTCTCATGCAGACAAGTTTCCTTACAGCTGGGAACCAGTACACAAATTCCATGCTTTCTCTGTAGGAATGAGGAAAACAGATCCATAACAGAGACCAGACACCATATTGGTGTGAACTAAGGTAAGGAGCAAAACAAGAGAAGGGTAGAGCCTCCAAAGGACAAAAAAAAAAAAAAAAGGAAAAAAAAGCCCTATACACCAAACTAAAAAAAAAAAATATTTTAAGCTTAGAGATGGAATCTTGAATTTATCAATTAAATAAAATTCTTAAAAACCATTTTTTAAAAAAAAGCCTGTTTTCTGCAGAAAAACACTATTTGAGGATTAGCAATGAAAATTTCAAACAAGGGTACCTAACATTAACTGTTATTCAAGAAGGGAGGTACTACAGCTACTTACAAACACTACCCTAATACCACAATGAAAAGCCCATAACACAGTATCTTGCACAAAGGCCAGTGTTTTAGAAAGCATCAGTAGCAAAGACTGATGCCCCAAAAGTAGGAAACTAGATGTTGCTCTTCAAATCTTCATGAGACAAAAGGATCTTCTGATCTTTAGAGGGACATTATTTGCTGATACTCTAGATTTATACAGAGAAACAGACACGTATAATCACAGACATGCGAAAGACACTAAATTGGAAGTACCCAATATACCTGTATATAACAGAATTGCTTTGAAATTCAATCTCTTACAATAAGAACAACATTCTAAAAGTTCAAACTCACACCTTTTCTGGAGTTTTTGTTGTTCATTGCAGGTTTTTTGTTTGCTTGTTATTTTGAAAGGAGACGAGTTCATTCATCTTTGGCACACTTGAATTACTTTCTATGGCACTGCTGCACTGACATTTGCAAGGACTGCAGCAGAAGTCTACAAACAAGTAAACTGAAGCTGCCCTAGAACATCTATCCTTCTGTAATATTGGCATTGAAGAAAGCAGAGAAGGCGAATGAAACAACACTCAGCAGGATGAAGCAGAAGGCCCTTTGCATAAAGGTATGAAATACATCAGTTTCCAACCCTCTGTTAATGCATGGGCTTGGAACAGTTCCTCTCAGGAGGCCCTAAGGAAGCTGATGACAATAAGAAACTGAAAGAAAGAACAAAGACCTTCTTCCCATCTTGTCCCCATTAAGGGATCACCATTAAGGCTACATGAGTCTGTCAATATTTTTTAAAGTAGAAGAGCATCTACTTTCTTCCTAATTCACATGCAGTAATACACAACATATGTTTCAGTCTTTTTTTTTTAAGTGTTTTTTTTTAGTGTAATGGTGTAGACAAATCACTAAGTTACATGCTGGAAGCAACTGCTCTGGAAGACATTTGGTTACATGATGTCATCAAACTTTGCAAGCAGAACCCACAACCATCCTGAGAAAGCCAGTAGAGAAAAAAAAAAGACAAAACTTTATTTTGTAAAGCATAAATTATAATGTTTAAAGTTAACTACTTTTCTTCCTCCTCCCCTTTCTACTCAGCTACAAGTAAAACAGGATTTGGGGATTTACTGAAGCCTGAAACCAGCCGTGTGTGAAACAACTGGTTATTAAATACCACGTTTAGAATTTAAGCCTGTGAATAAAGACACTGAGCACCAACTTATCCCCGCTTGTTTAGCGGTGTCATTTTTATTGCAAAAGTTTTTCCTCTTATCAGGTAATCGCTGCAAGGTAACAGTCAATATAACAGGACAACATCAGGCACCTTTTGTTCCACAATGAGAAAAACCTCGGCAAAGCCGTGCGCAACCCCGGGGCCCGGCTGCTGTCAGCGCTGGCTTTTCTCCCGTTCTAAACCACAGTGCCCGTCGCCGCGGCGGCCGCCGGGGCTCTCGGTGCCTCCGGGGCTCCCAGCGGGGCGCAGGGCTGCGGGACGCCGGGAGCCAGTCCCGCTCCGCGCTCCTTTGTGCGCCCCCGCGGGGCGGGGCGGGCGGGCGGACAATGCGCGTCTGTGCGGGGCCCGCGCCGATTGGCCGCGCCCGCCCGTGCCCGTGATGTCCCATGATGTCATGCGGGAGGAATGCGGGGGGCGGGAGGGCCGTGCATCGCCCCGCTCGGGGCACCGACTGCACCCCGCCCAGCCCGGCCCAGCCGCGCCGGGCACCGCTGCCCCCCGCTCCGCTGCACCGGCCCCCGCACGGCCCCGGAACGGCTGCGCGCCCCAGCGCCGCGCCCCGCGCGGTCCCGGCGGGAGGACAAGGGACAAGCGGGATGCCCCGTTCCGGGGCTGCCGGCACGGGCAGGTGCAGCCCCGGCGGCGGCGCGAAACACGGGTCCACACGCGGATCTGCCCGGCGCTGACAGCTCTGCAGCCTCCGCCGCGGCGGCGAGTTTCGGAGCGGGGCCGCGGAGGGCAGCGCTGTCCCGGGCCGGCTGCGGGAGCATCCCTGCGCGGGAGCCGCCACCGGCCGGGCGGGACCCCCGCCAGCAGCCGGAGGTGGCGAAGCCCCGCATCGCATCGCGCCTCGTCCTGTCCCGTCCCGTCCCGTCCTGCCCCACCGTCCCGGCGCAGACAAAGCCCGGCGAGCCCCGCGCCGCCGCCCCCCGCGCCGCCGCCCCCCGTACCTTGTTCTTGACCTCGGCGGAGAGCCCGTAGGAGGGCCCCTTGTTGAAGTGGGTCATGTCGGCGGTCTGCCGCGGTCTGGGGGCGCTGGTCGCGGGCGCTGGCGGCTCGGGGCTGATGCGAGAGTCCGCCCGCGGCCGCGGAAAGTTCTAGTCCCTCCCCCCCGGCCCAGCCCCGCGGCCGCCGGAGCCGCCGCGCGCCAATCGCGGCCCTGGGCCGGGGCAGCCCCCCCGGGCCGCCGGGGAGGGGGCGCGGGCCGCGGGGAGGGGACCCCGCCCCGCCTGGGCCCGCCCTGCCCGCCGCCGCTGCCGCCGCCGGGCGCCGCCCGGGGGTCCGGCCGGGGCGGGGAGCGGAGCGGAGCGGGGGGACGTCAGCGGGAAGGAATCCTTGGCCAGCGGGGGCCGCCGCCGCGGAATGCGCCGCCGCCGCGGATTTCTGCGGCACGCGACGCCCCCGGGGGATGAAGGGGGGATCTGGGCGAGGGAACGGCGGCCGCGGTCCGGCGCTGCCCGGCCGCTCGCAAGGCCTCCCCGCCCCGGTCAGCGAGCGGGCCGGTACCCGGTGGGAAGCTCCTGCCGGACCGGGATGACGGCACTGAGGCGCAGGGAAGCCGGGGAGGACGGCGGTGGCGCTCCCTTCCTGGCGATGCCCGCCCTCGAACCCTTCCCGGACGGTGCGGGACCGGGGGCTCCCCCCGCCACAGAGCCCGCTCGGGAGCCCTGGCGGAGAGGTACCGGCCGCGGGCAGGGCTGGCCGAGAGCCCTCGGCCGCTCCTGCGCACCGCTCCCATGCGCAGCCCCGGGGCCCGAGCAACTTGTGAGATTCCTTTAAAAGGTTACAGAATCTCAGGAAACTTGGATAAACGCTGGGAGATCGCGAAAAGGGGGAGGGAAAAAGTGCACAAGTCGTCGAAGTGAGATTAAGGTGTCGCAGGACGACGGGCTCATGCTCCTTTCGAGCTCGTGGTTCCTCTGCTCCACGTTGTGGTCATGGATCCCGTGGGAGCCAGCAACTCCGGATTTTGGTGCGGGTCACCCCCTTCCCTACGGCGTTAAGGCACTAATGGACAGCGCAGGGCTGTGTTGGTGGCCTCTTTGGAGGGCGACCAGACTGCTCAGCCGTGGGAGTCCCAAACCTCTGTGGAAGGCACAGGGCACACACAAGGTTTGCGTGCTGGGCATACCAGTGGGATTACACGGGATCCAGCCCAGGCAGCGTTCGTTCCTGGCAGCCAGCGGTGGACCGCGACTGGCTTCGGCACTGAAGTCGCTCTGGAAAGCAAGTACACAGTGAACACTTGGTCCATTGAATGAAGTACTGACCCGAAAATACAGCACTGTGCTTCCTTCAGTGTTAGTGTAACTGTAGGCATACAAAGTAACCTTTCAAATACAGTTAAATTTTAACAGATTTGAAAACAATAATTGTAAAATGATCTGCTGGTAGGACTAGTTGGATAAGGCATAGCAGGCTGTTGAAGCCTGACTGCTGGAGCTGAGGCCCACTTAGCCACCTACTTGGTATCCTGCAGAAAGAACAATTTTGTGCTTCCATTTCATAGCAAAAAGTCAGGACTAAGCGTTCTAACTCCAGTTGAAACCAACGGGGCTCTTTCAAAAGACTTGCGGTGGAAGCCCTGTGGGGCTGTAACAGTCCTGAGGAACTTGCAGGGCAGCCAGGAGGTTGTTTTATGCTGTGGTGCTGTGGATCAGCTCAGCTCAAACCGCTTCTCCGCTGCATAGCCTCTAAGGAAAACAGCCAGGGCTGTTCCTAATTAAAGGAAGCAGAACTGCCTAAACTACCCATTGGGAAAAGGAAACTGTGCAAGAGAAGCAGGAAACTGAAGAATGGGGTGAGGGAAATGGCAGTTCACGTAAACATAATGAAAGTTCATTAGTTTTCAGACATTCATGTAGGGATAAACTCATCTCTCATGACCTCAGAGAACATGTGATTTAGGACTAGATTCAATATCGTCCAAAGTACTTGGAAATGTTTCCATTGACTTAAGTAAAGTTGGATTGGAATGTTATTTGTTAATGCTCTTAATCATTTTTGCTACAGTACACAGTGGCTTGAGACATTTGAGACATTTACAATTGGTATGCTTTTCTCAGCTCCATAAATTGTATGTTTCATCAATTTTGAAATAAAATGGTCCTGATTAATAGCAGACAAAAATGTGGCCTACTATTTTCTTGCTGTACAATCAGGTTTAAATTATCCTCAAATAAATCCTGTAGTTTGTGGGTTTTTTACATCATCTGAGCAGGGCACAAATACCGTTTGTTGTTTTTGTGCTGATACTGAATATCTGATAAGAAAACTATCAATTTTTGGGGGCGATTGCTGCCTTTTATTTTGTGATCAGTAACATACTTACACCCTGCAGAAAAGGTGGTAAAAGAAATATTTGAGTGTAGTTAAAAACACGTTCTGTTTTGCATCACTCTGATAACACAAAGCAAATTTAAGTCCATCAGTGCAGTACAAAGCAGCTGGAGCATACTGGGCAATCTGGCTAATTATGGGTAAATCTCTTATCTTTGCCCTATTTTTCTACATTTCTTATTACTAAGGCTGTGTGTATGGAAAGAGGATTTGCACAAGAATTATTCCCCACCTGAAATCATAATCATCTTTGTGACATTGTAATAACTTCTTCAGCCACCACATGTAATATCATAAACACGCGCTGATGACTTCAGTTGGAAACTAGAGAAAAAGCTCTGAAGAGACTAAGTCTGTTTTCTTGGAAACATGGACCGTAATCTTACAAATATTCTTGCACATGGAATTATTATAAGCATATGTGTAGTGCTATTAAACTCCCTGAATTTAAATTATCCCGTGTGTAATTCCACCATAATCCATAAAATTAATGTGGCTCAATCTAACTATCAAATACACGTTGCGATTTCTGTGCTCTGCTCAATGATTGAAGATGTGCAAAAGGGTGACTGGTGAGTCCTACACATGGAGTCGAGTGTAGCCACGTCTGAGGTGGAGCATTGTCTCGTTCCTACCCATCTGATCCTGATAAAGGGCCTTGGTTTAATCAACTGGCTCAGCTGACGAGGAGTGAGATGATTTCCCTGAAGGATAGAGGCAGTTTGGAAGAGCTAAACTGTAGAGGAAGAGAATTTGCCAGGACTAGCTCCAAAGGGTGATATATATGGGAAGGAGGAAGGCTTTGGTGAGTGGTCTGGGATCTGAGGGAAGGGAGTAGGGTTCTGAACTGGGGACGATGATGGTACCAGCCATGGTGCTGGGTAGAAGCAGATGAAGAAACAGACCGCTGGGTGTGTGCTTGTGGTCATGGGTGTGATTTTGCCTGGAGTGGAGGAGTAGGTTCCTGGGTGGGAGGTGGAAGCTACAGTGCTTGAAAGCACTGTACTGGAGCACAGGAAGAAGTCAAACTAGGGTGTTGTGCCAGCTTGGTATGGACAGGCGGGGGACTGGTGAGGAGGGGGTCCTGCACTGCACTGCTATCAGTGGAGTTCACTGGCCTGCAGGTAACTGATGGGGGAGTTACAACTATGTTATTTCCTAAGGATTAAGGAGAAAAACTACTAGTGAGTGAGTATACTGATCTGGTGAGGCAAAAAGAAGGCTGTACTGCTCACTTTCCCTTTGATGTGCTTCAGCTAAGAAGCAAGGAGCTAACTAAGCCCTTTTGCAATTCTCTTGAACTTGGGGGTGTCTTTCCCAGGCTGCCCTGTCCAACGTCAGTGTGTTAACTACTCCCGGTGTTGTGAAATGGCCTGTCCTAGGGTGGTAGTGACACTAACACTCAATAATTTAGCCTAATTAACTTCTGTGACTAAAGTTATTAAACTGCTGTAGGATAAATACAACTTGTGACTCTAGTAAGACTTGGATCTTCCTGACGGTTGATGCCTGTTAAGACCAAACATTAGTACAATATTCAGTGGCATTGAAACTGCAAAACAAGAACTCCACAGAAGAGCCTTAGTACTATGCAAAACTGTCCTTAATTTTTCCTTTTGAAAATAATGCATGTCTTAGGTAAGCGCATATAATGTTTGTTCATATGTTTCCTCAAATACCTACTTAAAACATTGCTGTGCTGATACTGCTAATTACTTTGGAAGATTTTGGAGGTATGCAGCATTGCCTTTGGTACTTTAATTAAATTAAACATGCTATTCTGTATGTGCGCTGTATTGCTTCTCAACTACTTTAGCAGATTATTCTCATCCTGTGGGAGATCCTCTTGCCTTGTAGAACAATTTCAGGCACTATGAGGTGTTCGTAGCCCACTCCTCTTTTCTTTGTACCAAACTACAGAAGATAACATTTTCTTGACAGTCATTAATTCTACCTAAAAGGCCAGCTTGCAAGTGTCTTAAAATCAGCATCTGGAAAAACTAAGTACACTGACTTCTTTCAAATACCACAAACTGAATCACGGGGCCAAATTCAGCCTTGATGGAATTATTATCTGATATCTGTGTTCTGTGTTTTCCCTATGTTGCTTGAGTAAATTCCCTTATATGGAGATGTCTTCAGAGATTCACATGATGCCAAAATGCTCAGAGAATTGCATAGAACCAAACCTAAAATACTGCAGTAAAAAAAAAAAAAAGAAATATAAACCTAGACTTCTCTTGAAAGGGTGTTGTGGTGCAAATCCCTCATTTGAGAAGGGATTTTAAGCTTCAGTTCTTACAGTTATAATACTGGGAGACAAGTCTTAATTTTGGGAAATGTTCCTCTTTGTGTCAAATTTTTAAGGACATAAATGTTAATCATGTTTATGATAAAATAATTTGGTGAAGGGAAAGACTTACCTACATGTCTGTATTTTTAGAGATTAAGCTTTATTTAAAACAAAACAATATATTCAGTTTGTTAAAATATCTAAATGTTTTCTTTTTAATCCATCACTTTTTCATTAATTCTAACACTGATATCATCTTCTGTCCCCCATGCTTTTATGAAAATAGTGGGGCTTTTGTTATCTAGTTATATTAGCTGTTGATAAATAAGCTTAAGGCAGACTGTTCTCCTTTTTTCATTTTTATTTGCGATTCATGACCTTCTCTTAAAATGTGATGGCTGCATTCTTATCAGTGGGACTATAGCTAGAAAAATAGTGGAATGCAAAAGTATATTCCTTGATAATATAGAAAA